ACTATGTTTTAGAAGAAATGCTGACCCTGGGCAGGTAACACTGAACCTCGCACATGGAGTTGAGAAACTTAACGAAGAAAAATTATGAATATAAAAAAGAAAAGTAATTGAGGAGGAACAGATAAAGGGTGATGTTCCACAGGAAGCAATGCAAGCAAAAACTTCACATTAAGAGAGCACTTGTAGATACTTCATAATGCTGAAAGTGTAAGGCATAAAATGCTAAAAACCAGTTCAGGTTTTGAAAGATTGTAGCAGTCCAGTAAGACACAGAACAGGTACTCTTCATCATAAGATAAACACTGAAACAAAAGGTACTCAATAAATTTCTATGAAGATTCACTGATTCTCAATGTTTTTAATATTTTATATTGTACTAAATATTAATTTATTTTCTATACATTCATGACTGATTTTAATGTCATAAAAATTTTGAGGATCAGAGAACTATTATAATTTTCCTAACAGATTATTAAGATTATTTTGGCACAATTTCAGGTTATACTGTCATTTGTATAATCTCTGCAATGATTATATGAATGCTCGATAACCACATGGAAGTAATCCAACATCATTAGTCATCAATAAATACAAGTTAAAGTCACATTAAGATGGTATTCTTTTAGACCAAAGAAAACGATGAAAATTTAAGAGTGATAAATTCTACTGAAAATGAGACGTGTTCATAACTCTCATACACTGCTGCTCAGTACGTACTTAATAAAAGCACAATCACTTTAGAAAATTGTCGGGTTTCTTGAAGAGTTAAATAGTCATGTATTCACTGACCTAGTGGTTCCACACACAAAAAATTATTTGAACAAAAACAGAGCATTTTAGTTTGAAATATAATCCATGATATTCACCAAAATGTAATAGTCTACATGTACACTAAAGAAATAATGAAATATGCAGATGGAAAGTTATGCAATAATGAGAGAAAAACAAATTAAGGTGTTTACAGCAAATGAATTTTGTAATTATACTGAAGTAAATAGGTCAGAGCTAAACAGCTCCACATAGCTTAAGAACAATGGAATCTAATCTGTGTTAACTGGAGTTAGGACAGGGGATGCTCTAAGGAGTGGGTAGGCAAGAGAAAGTTTCATTGGAGGTAGAAATGGTTTACATGTTGACTAGATAGTATATCAGTATATATATTTTTCAAAACTTACTGGATTTTTACATTTAAATTTTGTGCATTCTACTATACATAAATTTCCTAAGGTAGAAAACAAACACAAAGAAAATATTGCTCTTAAAAACAGTTATAATATTCAAAATAAGTCATAAATTATTCATGTACAAAGAAGCTAAAAGTACTAGATACTGGTACTTTCTGGATAATATTTTGTAAATCTAGCCTTTTAACAGAAAAAATAGTTTATTTCTCATATATCAGTATCAGAAAAGAATTCTGAAGTTAGTAAGTCAATAACTATTTTCTCTGTCATGGTGTACCTGTTCAATTTTCAGGTAAAATTCCTAAAAAAAATTCTTCTGAGGATAGCATTCTATCTTTTAAGATAGAATGTTTGTGCCTTTAAGATAGAATGTTTGTGCCTTTAAGATAGAAGTTTTGTGCCTTTAATGTCCTAACATCCTAGGTACAAAGTCAGTTGGCAATTTCAAATCTAAACTTTAAAAATGTTGGTCCTTCTATACATAATAAATCATTAATATAGTTGTGTTTAAAAACTTATACAATGGAATCTTGGTTTTTTAAAAACATTATGTAAAGTAGGGTTAATTTAATTGATGAACTTCTGAACACTAGGCTGCTAATTTTGTGTGCATCTTTTGATCAGCATAGATTTAATTATTGTGATCAAGATAGAAAATTTCTAGTATTATAGTTTATTTTTAAGGTACAACAAGGCATCCAGACAGAACCAGTGCACTATTTTTCAAAGCTGCAGTGAGTAGAAGTGAAAACAAATTATTAATATACTAAGAAACGTTACTTTCACTTTATTTAAATTTTGAAAGCATGTAATCTTATAGAAGCTGCATATGCATGCGTTACACTTAAAAACAGCTTTCTCACCGAACTTGCAATTTCCTATGCCATGAAACTTGGAATACCTTAAATTCACTGAACTGACATTAACAGTAAATTGTACAACCTGTCTGATCAAAACCTTTTCTTTACATTCACATTGCACTGATTTTAAATTAAATCTAAAGCATTGCAATATTATTTCAAAAATATCACTAAAACTCATTTATTCTACATTTCAGAATATTTATACAATTACTCGATGTTTTTCATGGAGTTTATAATTTCATACCATCAACAGGCTCACTACCGAAGCTTTCAAGTAGCACAGATCCCAGAGAAAGAAGAGTACTTTCACAGGCACACACACGTGATTAACTTTACTTAAAAGCGGGAAAGGATAAGAAAACAGTCAGGGTGGGGTTGATATGTAAAGGCTGTTGTGACAAGTACCAGCTACAGCTGCACAGAACAGAAATGGAAATAAGGTAACAAGATACGCTCCAGTTTCTAAATAAGTGAATAAAATTGTTGCTGGAGGAACAGCTGGCTTTAGCTGGAGCTTGGATAAAGAGAAGAGTGGTTGCCACAGTCCACTTAATGAAAGGTATCAGAGCGTCAGTGAGGCCAAGGAGAATTACTCCTTGTAGCTCAAATTCATTTTTTTACAAAAGGAATTACATTTAAAAGGATTTTTAAATTTATGATTTATAATTTGATATCTAAGATGATTTCAACATAGCAAACATTACACTTTTGGAGCTGGTCCAAAATTAAAACAAAAGTGATGTGACTCCTTTAACTTTAAACATTTCCCAGAATGTCCTCAGTAGTTTACAGACCTTAGTATATTAATTCATAATATTTTAGTTGTATAGTTTAAGGAAAGATTTGAAAATAGAGATCGAGATTTCCCTGACTTTTCAATCCATATTTGGGTAAGACTATATATACAGTCACATCACTAACATGACTATACACAGTAATGAAAATATTCTCACAAACTGAATTTCTCTACCTCAGAATGAGTCTATGTAGACATTGTAAAAAGGAAAGAAATTGACCCAACTTCAATAAAAACAAATGATTTGTTGAACATCTAAGGAAGTGAAGGCATCATAAATTAGTGGAATGGGTTCTGGAAAAGTAATAATTTTTGCTAATATAGTTATAATAAACAGTTCAACACTTAAGTACTATGCCTCATGCATGCAAAATAAAATGACTGAGTTGTTACTTCTGAGATCCAAGAGACTTAAAATATATAATTCTAAATTTTAGCAGCATAATAAATACATTTGCTTTGTCAGTGTTCTCAATAGCCTCTAACCCATAATTTAAATGTATTAAATAACTTAAACTTGAATAGACAAAAAGAGTATCATATGTGATATTGAAAATATACCCTTGGGTAAACATTGTCTTCAAGGAAGAGAGGGTAAATAAAATTTTCCCAGTTCCTTTCACTATGTATAATAAAAATCACAAACATTAAATATAAAACAAAATCAACCAAAAATCAGATCAGCTAAGCAATCCAAGACCCATATAATAACATGAGGGTGAAATGCTAGAGTTTTCTTTTTGCTGCATTTATCTAGAATTCACTAGTCCAGAAATGCCAACCAACTAAGAGAATAAAGTTCTAATAAAAATCTGTTCTCTTTAGCCAATAATAACAAATCAACAACCCCAACCTCCACATAAAATAGTGCAATCTGGAAAGGTAGAAAATTTTTAAACAATAACAGCTCTATCCAAAAAACAAAAAACAAAAAACAAAAACACAAGGAAAGCTGAGGTCTCACTCCCTCTTCAATGGGAAGCTATGTTCAATGGGAAGCTAAGTCTTCTTCACTAACCTCTTCCCCCTTTATACCGGACAGCATGATGTTTGAAAAGATGAGTAGGGAGATAAGACTTTCTCACTTCTGCAGTAAAAGGTCACCTTCACTACTATACTAGTGAAGCCCAGAAATGGAGAAAGATAAGGCAGTCCTGCACCTGCCAGACAGGGGAGACCTCGCAAGGAGCCAGATAGCCCTTGCCCACTCAGTAGTAACAGTGCTCTCCTCCATGTCAATAGCCGCCAAGTGGGGAACTTGGACTTTGGCCCTGATGTGGGAAAACAGAGAAGTGTCATTCCTTTCCCTACCTAAGTAACATCAAAGGGAAGTGCTATGATCCGAATGCTGTGTGCCCACTTCAAATTCGTGTCTTGAAACATAATCATCAGTGTGATTATGTAAGATTAGAGCATGAAGGTAAGACCCTCAGGATTGAGATGAGGTCAAGAAAGAGGGCTCAAGATGCCTTAGCTCTTCCGCCACATGAGAAAGAAACACCTATGAGCAAGGAATTGGGCTTTTACTAAATGCTGAATATAAAATTGTTATTTGTGGACCTTCCAGTGTCCAAAACTATGCTAGGCAAATTTCTGTTCTTTATAAGCCATGCAGTTCATAACATGTTTTATAGCATCCCAAGTGAATTAAGACAGAAACCATTATAAATGTAATATGTCTAACATTTCTAGATCTGCTGAAGTTACCTATTTCATAGTAATGAGTTATAGCTGTGCTTTTTGGAGGGTGAGCCCATGAGACCATTTTATCTAAATTATAAAATTTATGCATGTAAAGTTGTCTGCAGTATTCTTTCATCTTTTGTTGCCTGTAATGTCTATATTGATTTCATTCCTAAATATTATAATTTATATTCCTTTCTCTGCTTTTTTGGTTTATTTGTTATAGTTGCTAGAGGTTTGCTAATTTCATTTCAAGGAGTCACTTTTTGTTTCATTGATTTTTCTTACTGTTTTTTCAGTGGAATTGGTTTCTGCACTTTACTATCCACTTTCTTCCACAGAATTTAGATTTATCTTCTTTTTCTATACTTTGGGAGGACAGAAAGATTAGATTATTGATCTAAGATAGTTTTTTCGAAGGTACATCTTATTTATTTATTTATTTATTTATTTATTTGGGTTTTTTTGAAGCAGAGTTTCACTAAGTAGTTCAGGCTGACCTTGAACTCACTGTGTATCCCTGGCTGTCCTGAACTTCAGTGATCCTCCTGCCTCAGCCTTCCAAGTACAAAGATTACAGGTGTGTACCACCATGCTCAGCTTCTATTTCACTTTATTTTACTGAGTAAATTCATACCTTTAATACTACAACTTTTTCCACTGCTTTTACGGAGTCCCATAGAGTTTAGTATGTTGTATTTTCAGTTTCATACATTCAGTTACCTGTCTTGAGATTTTCTTTATCTCTCTTGAGACTGTCTTGGACCCATGGATTACTTATAAGTACTGCTTTTTGTAACTGGTTTGATATTACATTTCAGCTCCAAGTTCACATCCTGAGAGCATATAAAATAATTTTTAAAACTCTCTAAAAAGAGATCTCTGGGATAATAGTATAGCCAGAGAATTCTAAAAATTTAGAGAACAATTGACATTTAAGTAATATGTTCCAGAAAATAAAAGAAATTCACTTTGTGAAGCCAGTATTTTGCTTATATGATACAGAGACCATGACAGTAAAGACAGAGACAGAGAAAGAAAGAGATAGTGACAGAGACAGACACAGAGAGACAAACCATATCTCTCATGAATTCTGACAAAAAAACCTTTTCAAATATTAGAAAATAGAGATCAGAAATTGTTATAATTTGAATGCATCCCACAAATGCAAATGTCCTGAAGATTTAATCCCTGAATTCTGTTAATGGCATCTGAAGGTGGGGCAAAATCATGGAGTAGAACTATGATCGTGGTTTTACAAGAAAGAGACCCACACTGTCACTCTTCTGTCTTGTCAAGTGACACCCATCACGTCAGAATGCAGAAAGTCCTCACCAAACGGGAAGAAAATGCTGGTGTTAAGCTCTTAGATTTCTCAGCCTCCACAACGTGAGCCAAATAAACTATTTGTTATAAACTATCTAGTCTCCAGTATTTTGTTACAACTACAGAAAACCTAGATTGTAATATGCTGCACATGCCTGCAGGCGGATGTGAGTATGTGTGTGTGTGTGTGTGTGTGTGTGTGTGTGTGTGTGTGTGTGCACGTGTACACCACTGCCAAGCAGGATTGATTCAAAGACTTCAAAGCCCTCTTTTGAATATCAAAAAATTAACAAAGTAATTCACCATATTTATAAATCAAAGAAATGGTAGCAGTGCAGTAAAGGAAGAAAAACAAATAGCAGAGAAGCAGATCAAACAAGAAGACATAAAAGCTTCCCCTGTTTACACATGAAGCTGTCCCTGTTTATAAAGAATTATCAATACAGAGAATCTCAAAGATTCTCTGAAATATTCTTAGAACTCAAAAGAGTCAGGAGAAAACATGCGGGCTTCTGTAGCCGGTGGAGAGGCTGTTGGGTGGCCTTTACTCCAGCACCCCTTACCGGCTCCTGAGTCTTCAGCCGCATAGCAAGTCCAGGGCAACCCTGGCATTTGCATGGAGATGGAGGTGGTCCCTTAGGCCCCTATTAAGCCACAGGTCCCTTATGTTACAGTACTGTGTCCTTCTCCTGGCCTATTTTAGGCAACTTTGCCACCTCTCCTTCAGACACACACCCAGCCGCCTCTTCTCCAGCCTCGCCAGACTGGCAACAACCTTCCATTCAGAACTGTTTTCAGAAAATATGAGACAATGACTTATCAGAAGAAGAGACAGCTCTAAGTTGTTCTTAACCAGAGTGAATCTTATACTTTTTTGAAAAGCCAACTAGACTCAGCATTCACATGACCAAAATTTCCAATTCTGTCCTAGATAAAGAAGAACAAGATCATCACTCCCTTCTGGAAACTTGGAACACTATGTAACTCTCAAAAGAACTAAGAAGACCAAGCTTGACAGAATGATGAGTAAATTCTCATTATCAAACTTACAGAAAAATCTGAATATTTCATTAAATTCACACATGATCAGATCATCCAGCCATCTGGGACAAGACCAATGAATTATGTATTCTGAAGCTTTTTTGCATATGTGGGTACAGGTTTAAATTCAAGCAAGGGTCATGCATCTTTTTTTTCAACTGATTATAGCCCTGATAAATTTTGTACCTTGAGACACTTAACTATACCTGTAGGCTCATTTTAATGCATCCTGAGACTTTCTAATTGGCACCACATACTTTTTTTCTTCCTGTGCCTTATGATGGTGTATTTTCCAAATAAAAACACCTGGAAAAGCATCAAGCAAACCACCTTCAATGGCTTTCAACAAATGGAGAATTTCACCATGAACAGTTTTAAAAGAAGTGTTTGTATAAAAGTATGTACATATGAATTTGAAATTATTATTTATGTGCTACAAAATCTTCTATCTTGGGCTTCAGGTATATGAATTCCTCCTATACTAGCATAGTAATTTTCTGTGATCAAAAATGACTATACTTTATAATTGAAAATAGTATTACTAACAACAAAATACTATAAATAGAATGATGGCTTTTGAATCCAAACATTATAATAATAATAATAAAAACATATTATTTTTGGCCAAATTTGGGAGTCAGGTTAGGCCTGTACCCTCACAAGTTTTTTCTGGGTGAACACTGCAGTCAAACACTGGAGAGTATTCTCAGAAAAAATAGTACATGAGTTAAATATTTTTTTTGTTCACAGGTCATTAGTAGTTTGTATCAGTACAACTATTAATAATGGATTATTTCATCTGCAATCATTACTTTAAGAAATTACTTGTGTTATTTCATACTGTAAATTTAGCAGACTGTCCAATTTTCTACTATGTCACAGGCAAACTTTGTGACAAGCAAAACTAAGAGCAAAATCAGGTCTAACCCAGTCATGCAAACTTCCTTCCAACACTCTTCCCAACAAAATACTCTGATTGCTCTGCACACACATGCTGCATTGCTTTCTCCACGATACATTTTCTCTTGCTGTATCTTCAAATTGTTTACTCTTCTGTATTACTTTTCTGTTAATATCATCATTTGCATGAATAGTGAAGTGCCATGAATAGTGAAGCTTATTGTAAGTGTTCTTCTCCACTTTATCACAAGTGCTTTAGGAAGCTCTGATGCCCCTAGATCCCACTGTCCAAGAAACTTCAAATTAAAAACAATATTCTTTGGCATGCATAGTGGATATTTCTCATATAGTGAAAGACTACCAAAAAATATGTGGAAATTTTAACTATTTCATATTTGACAGTCTAAGTAGGCATTGGTGTATCTACCTATGAAATTCAAAATTTGAGGCAAATATCACTACATCGTCTTCCAATTAGATAATTGGAAACCTCTCTTACAAAGTATTTCTGTTGGTAGCAAGGAGCAACTTTTTTTTTTTTTTTTTTTTTTTTTTGTCTTTTTCGTTTTTATCGGTACCAGGGATTGAACTCACAACTGCCTGCTTGCAAGGCAGGCGCTTATGCCGCTAAATCCCCAGCCCAAGGAGCAACTTCTAATTCATATTCTACTTGTTCAATAAACTCTATTTCTCATGAATTACTATGTGATTTATTCTTCATGCCATAAAATTGGCCAACATATTATATGGTTTCCATTGAATTACATCATGTGTATTTAATACATATTTATGATAATAGTGGGGTTAAATGGATGTACAACACAGAGATCTCCAGGTCTTTTGTCAATCAAACTTGGGTCAGGAACTCTAAACTCAGTTGTTGCATAGTAAGCAGCAGATAAGTATATACTCTTTAACTCTTCATGGTACTGCAAGAAGTGTAAAAAGATATTTCTCATCTGATTTAACAAAGCATTATATTTAGTAGTTAAATCTGCATTAAAGCTATTCGGTAAAACATCTGAATTTCAATTAGATTAGTAATGCTAATAGTTATTTTTCTTTGCTCTGTGACTGACAACTATGTCTTTTGTGTTTTTAACAATTACATTGGTGAGTAGAATGTGTCAATTCACTTCTGAAGAGCAAACAGAATCCTGCAATTTCCTTGATTCCTTTCCTCACATCTTAATTCAGAAGGCAGGAGAAGGAAATATAAGTGGGATGTAAGTAAAGGAAAGTAAGTATTTCAATTAGGATACTAATTTGTAACCATGAAAATCACTTCTGCCACTTACATTAAATCTATTGAATGATACAGAAGACTGACATAGATTTGTATCAATAATATAAATCTTTTATTAAAAAACTGATATGTTTGAAGCTATAGTATATGAAGTTATATTCAAATATTTCAAGGAAAAAGACACTATGGTAACTACTATTAAACCGGGTTATTTGGTGGTGAAACACTAGGTTGCTGAAACTGTCATGCTTTGACCTGTACTGTTATGATGTTATGTCCTCTTTTATCTCAATCTCTTCCTTATTCATTAAAAAAATATTTAGTTACTTTTTATGATTTTTTAATTAAGGGAAAAAATCAAAAAAATTAGCAGGATATATTATAGTAACTTATTTGATTTCCTATTAACTTGATTTGAAGTCCTGTAATACTCCCACTATCTTGTTTTGACTGATTAGACTCTGTTCCATATGATAGTATCAATTTTGAAGGTATAGGCAACTACTTTGAAGGCAATAAGATTCACTATGATGCCCATTCTGGTTTGACTATTATCTTCTTTGGAAGTCCTGCAGTGTTTACAAGGTTTAGGTTTTATTGGTCTTGTTCTCTACTGTTTCGTTCAACTTTGTAATACCTAATGAGATAGACAATTCTTTTTAAGGAAGCAAGAGGCATTATGGTAACCATTGTCGATAACCTTGTACTGTTTTTACATCATGTGCTATGTCTATCCTTGGTTTTGACTGACAGCTTTGTTTTGTCATATTTGACTTTATTCTCTTCCAAAAAAAAAGTAATAAGAACTAAGGAATAATAAAACTCAAAATGTGTAAATTTTGTTGTAAAAAAGAGAGGGAAAAAATGCTCTAAAGTATACAACTGCAAGTGTGTTTAGGGGTGTTAAATAGATGCCCATATTAATGATTTTGGTTGGATCATTGAACACAACTGTTTGCAGTCTCACTGTTTGAATGTCCACTTTGAATGCTTTGATACTGTGACCTGAGCAACTGTTTCTAGGATGATAATTGTAATCTATTAACTGGTGATTTCTTACTGTTTTTTTTTTTTTTTTGTAGTTCTGTATTAATTGTACCCTTACACTACTTTGTTTTGTTTTGTTTTGTTTTTTCTCTTTTTCCTTTTAAATAAAATTTTTTTAAAAAACTGTCAAGTGGCTGTCGCAGTTAGTCATAATCAGAGCTTGCTGAGTAATCTCTGCTCTACCTAGGGAAGTCTACAAAATACAGATCCTACAAAGTGCATAACAATTGCGCATCTTAAGTACTTCCTAGGGCTGTTGTGGTCAAGGCTGTGAAGAATAGAATTGAGATTTTATGTATACTCTGTTAAACAGAACAGGAAAATTTAAGGAAATAAGAGTAGTATGAAAAAACAAAAATACTAAAAATACTCTTCATCAGTCTGTCTTATCACCAGTACATTTGCAAGTATAGTGGACTTTTAGTGGGTCCTTGCCTATTTACAATATTTCCCATTGGATAAAATGCTAATAAAGAACCCATCACTGAAAAAGAATGCTCCTAAAAACCACAACTTTGTATTTTACTTTGCTCAAGTAAGTTTTTGGCATCTGGTGAATACTGTTTATTTTTCTATTGGTTCTAAATTGTGGAATTTGAGGGAGAGTAGAATAAGCTCAAATTGTAAAATTATCTTCCACAAAATGTCCAAGTTTTAAATCTCAGCATTCAATCACATTTACTATGGTTTGGCAGTAATGTGGATAGGTGCATGCGTTTTGTGTCAGTTCAAACTTCTAAAAGTCAAATCTTCAATGCATATGTACTTGTCATATATTTTCTTGGTACATATATCTTGGCCCAAAATGCTATTAGAGGAACCAACTTTGGAGACTTTCATTTTTCTGCCTTATTCCAACATGCTTGGCTAGACACTAAGCACTAATCTCTTCATAAATTCAATGTTCATAATACATGTTTAGCTGTGTTCGCATATGACCAAAGTTTAAAAAGAAAAAAAAGTACCCAATAATCCCTGGAAGAAATGTTAAAGTTAAACACCAGGCAGTGACAGAGTGAGCCAAATTTGATTTCGCTTCATGTCAAAAATAAGTATAGAACCAGTGACTCAGAGCTGGCTATACACTGTGACTAATCTTAGACTACCATAAATCAGAAGTTTGCAACAGCTACAAAACTGCTCCTATTCTGAACAATGACTCCCTAGTTCTTACCAAGCTCTTATCAACACATAATTCATGTGAACTCAGACAAAAACCAGTTATTATATAATAAGTACTGTATTCATCAATATAATTGCAAACTAAGTTGAAAATTTAATATCAAGAAAAAATTATTGAAGCAGTAACTAATACTTAATGTTTCATACAGTTAAATATTTCTTTAACTAAAAATATTTTATATTTGACCGAGAGAAAGAAATTCACTTCAAAGTTTACCCAGTGGATGTGTGTAAATAAAATATCCCAATGGAGCAAAAATCCTTTCGTAAAACAATGAATTCTAAGTTAGGCTTGGTGACTTATTCTATTCTGGCCTTAGGAGGTTGAGGCAGAAGAATTACAAATTCAAGCCAAGACTTAGCAACTTAGTGACCTAGTGGGATCCTATCTCAAAATAAACATTGAAAAATAGGCCAGCAGGTGTAGCTCAGTTAGAATTCCCTAGGTGCAATTGAATTCTCAGTATTCCCTGGCAAAAAAAAAAAAAAAAATAGAAAACAACTCATTTCTTTTGTGTAAACTTACTGCCAATCATACGTTTCTCCTACAAACTGTGTGTGAAACAGGGACAAATAAGTCATGTTCCTCTCTACGCAAAGAATTTATAATGGAACCGATGGTCCCAAATTACAGCTTTGTATTACCCATATATATTGATTAAATCAAGAAACTTGAGACTAAATCTCAAATTCTGAGTAATTCTTTGATTTAGCATCCCTTCAGTCTCTACCTAGATAGCCTTTTCATCCTAAATTAAGATCCAATTCAAATCCTAATTAAGTAATTTTTTTCAAAGATCTGGACCATAAATTCAGGTGATATAGATTATCAAGCACACATTGCTATTTTGACTCTGTGTCTTGTTTCTCCTGGCTGAATTTATCCTTTGTTCCTTTAACTAATTTTGAGTACCATTGTACCTGAGGATAACAATTTCTTTGTCCTGCTTTGGGAGAGGTCTGAACCTCTACTTTATTTAGGAATTATTGACCTCCCTGTTGTCGGTTCACTAGGGCTTAAGATTTGTCTAATAATTCAGACTATTTTATCTGGTGCTGGACCACCCTGACTCAGACCACCTGCCTGGATTTGAACATATTTCCTTCTCCCAGACTCCACATAAGAATGACCTACTTACCTCCCATTGGGAAAACACCTGTCACTTCTTGATGGACTTGTCTGAACCTGTTTGTCCATCCTCAAAGCATCCTGGGTAATCTACTTTAGTACTTCCCCAGGGATGGTTAGATGCTTGAATTCAAAGACTTCACTACTTAAGGCCACGATTCAGCAAGCCTAGGATGAAACTCAGGAATCTGTAGTATTAAAAATTGGCATGTTGCTGAAAGCTCTAATGAAGAATGCCCACATACCCTCTCTTGCTTTTTACATCTCAAACCATGTCATCATGAGATTTAAAAAATGAATAAAATTTCATGCTTTTCAGAAAGTGATAAGAATGTAGATAAAATCAGTGAAGCAATCCAATGGTAAAAGAGTGTTAGGCATATTTAAAAAAATAATCTATTCAACTATTGGCCCATTAGAGATATTTAAATAGTGTTTTCTAAGATGAAAAAATTAAATCTATTGTGCTGAATAAATAGTTTTTCTAGAGGCATCAGTTATACAAGGAGGAGTGGAGATACATAAGAATAAAAAGAGGAGGAAAGAAGCGAGAGAGGAAAAATGTAATCCAACGTAAACAATATACTGAAAATACACTTTGACTTAGTGTAATTGTCTTACATGTTTTATGTTGTTTTTTGGCCTCTTAGCCCAAGAACTCTGTTTTTCTATCATATATGTTATTAATGATTTTATAAAAAATAAATATATCTGGTGCTGCAAAAATAAAAGGGACTGAAGAAAGGAAAAAAACAATCAAAATGTGTTTAGTACACATAAGCAATTTACTATGGTGAATGTAATTATTATGTACCATAAAATGTACTAATAAAAGTCATAAAAAGGGAATGAAAAGGAAGAGGAGAAGCAAACTCCGAGGATGAATTCTAGGATATATTTTGTAGATAACAAAATAGAAAACTGTTCATAGAGTATTCTAGGCCACCTCCTCCATACTGTGCCTTTCATTATCACCCCTGTGCTTCGGACACCCAAATCAGTATGTTTAGCCCTTATAATTCAGATAATGAACTTCAACTGAAAATGCACAAATGATCTAAATTCCATGTTAAAACACATGCAGTTGAAGTGAGGAGGTGCAAAGATGAGACTGATCAGTATGCTAAATTAACAGGAGTAATAAGACCATAGGACCAAGAATAAATATATAGTAGTAGAAGTCAAATCAAAACTAATAGGAAAACTGAAATCATGACATGGACTGAATTGATAATATGTGATTATGTAGAGATGCAGGAAAAAATATTCATATAAAACAATGAGGGTTTGTGACCAACTAATTATCAAGAACAAGCATACAAAAACAAGGAAATAAGGGCATTCTATTTTTTTAATATATTTGAGGTGAATATGCCAACCAAGTAACCAGCTGAAATTTTCCAGAAATTTTACATATGGATGTGGAAGAGAAATAGAAAGAGAATAAAGTCTAAGAGAGTGGAATAATACTCTAGACTAAGGTGCTAGAGGAGGAATGAGATTGAATAATAAAAGAATAGTTAGATCTCAAGGAGAGTGGCAAGTATGTCCTGGGAGAAGATATATGGAAGGCATAAAAAAGATATGGATAGATGTTGTCATGAAGAAAGGTGAATCAATGTATTTTAAATTATTAGCAAAATAAATAACATTAAATATTGAAAATCTAAGTCTAGATTGGCAGATAAGAAGTGTTTTGAATACCATGGCAATATACTGAATTCCTACTAGACAGGCAGTTGGATTAACAAATGAGATAGAGGGTAAAAAGCTTAAGAATGGAAGCAAAATTTTCTTATCGAAAATTAAAGTTTTAACAAGGAACATACATAAGACGGTGCGGCAGCTGGGCTGCTTATGAAAGATGATTTTATAGCTGAAGAAGGCTGAATCATTTTTATTTTTTTCTAACCATATTTAGCAGCAAGCAGATTGTGGCAAACAACTTGTGGGATCTTCCCAGATTTAAGAAATTTCCTGGAAAATGACTCACGATGACATGGTTTGAGATGTAAAAAGCAAGAGAAGGTATTATTGAAATGCAGCTATTGCAGGCTGGGCAGGGAGAATCCTGCAGCAGGCAGAAAAACCACACTGGAGGATCACAAGGAATAGCTACTGAGCTAGATGCTAAAACCAGGGACATAGCAGCCTGGGTCTTCAGGTTCTCAGTTTACGGTCTTAAGAGTAGAAGTGTGCTGTAAAATGAAGTTATACAGGTTTCAAAAAGGAACGTGGGGTTCATATATATTTCCAAGATAGGGGTCTGGATGCTCCAGAGGCAAGTAAGTATGCCAATACTCACAGTTCCCACTGGGGCAGACACCAGGAAGTGGTGTTACCAGGAAAGATTCAGACTGTAATTTGTATGCCCAGGGAGAATGTGGGAGAAAGTAGGAGAATAAAGATTACGACAGGAAGGAGCTCTATTCGGGAGAATTCAGAGTTTCTTACACATTGGAGTTTAATGCCTTTGCTATTCATACAATTGTGAAAATGAGGCTGATGCTGTAGCCATAGTCCAGGGAAGTCTCTAGAGTTCCATAAAAACAACTGAAAAGAAGGAAAGGTGCATACTGGGAAGTTCACATGTTCTTTCCTTTAAAAAGTATGATAAAGCAATTTCAACAAGTTGGAGAATTGCGTATTCGTATAAACACAGCAGAACCGATTTTCCCTTTCTTCCTTCCTTTCACTCTCCCAGTGTTGTAAAAAACTATACAAGGTGGTATTCTTGTAACACACAGTCTAGGGAATCGTGCATTGCCTTTTTAAATATGCAGTTAATATCTTTATATAAATAGGCTACATAGATCACAAACAGACACACAGAGGACCATGTTTTATGCTAGCTGCCTGTTTCACAGCACTGACCCGTTCCACATTAGTTACCTGCTTCAGGGAGAGTACTGACATTGCATGCGCTTTCGTTGCCTTCTCCAGCTGAGGTTGAAGCTGCTACTCTAAAGATATATGAAGTATTAGCAGGAAGTTTCACGAAAGTGTGCATGTGCTCTTCGGGAGAGACTTTTGTGGAATTCCTCTCAAATGTTATCAGGTAATGTGTGATGATTCCATTTGCTTTTTTTGGTGGGTCCCATTTCACGGAAGCTGACTGCCAGTCACTTGCCATGCACTCTATATTCTGCACAGCATCTGGAACTAAAGGACAAACATATGCCCAAAGTGAAAATTTAAACACGTGTAGTACCTAATTTACTGAATTATGTGATTGCTAGGTAAAATTATGTTTAGGAAGACAGAATGAAAATATAGCAGCTTTTCAACTGGTGCTCAAAAACTTGTTAACCTAGACTGAATTAAATTGCTATTGGCTCATTTTCTATGCTACTCTATAAATGCTTATAATATTGACTCAGTCACTGAATGTTTTCATAGGTCCCACTAGGAATCACATTCTCAACCCCTTAGAAGAAACTGTGTAGCCTCAAGCATAGGAAGTGGCTGTGACCTCCTTCCTTAATCAGAAAGGTGCAATTTTAGCCATACATTATTGTGGAACCTTTTAATGCAAAACATAATTATAAGTGACCCTTTAATGTGGCACATCCAGGTTCAACAGTACTGGGAAATCTAGAGGTCTTGCTTTTATATTAGGATTCTTCTTTGAAAGTGTCTTTAAGACTTATTCTTTACACTTTAGAAAATTTTTGAAAGAAGACTTAAGGAGTTCTGTGTCCTCATGCCCCATCCCCATCCCCGGACATCTGAATGTACTTGAACGTGACTCAGTATCTCAATGGCCCACTACATCTGATTAACCTGGATGGGAAGTAGTCCACCAAAGTGACCACACATAGAGGAGTGTGTCATCTGGCTACATGCTATAGGAAAGGCCAACAACATCAGCAGTTGCTAGTATTGATAAAATACCACTTTCTTACTACAACATAAAAAGAATAGTAGAGAGAAAATTGGCAGGTAGTCAATTTGTATATTACAAGTTATAAACAATAAGAGAAAATGACTTTTTACCATTACTTCAAACATAATAATTCAAAGAATATTCAAATAATCTGCTACTTGACAACTATTTCCTTGACCTAAATTTCTCTTACAAGCCTTTTTTCCCTCTGTAAGACAAAGGCATGAGTATAGAAGGAAATATCTAGGGAATGTATGACATTTAACATTGAAATAAAGCTCATTTCTGGGATGATCAAAGTCTATGACAATTAAATATCATTAATTATTCAACTTCTTATTTTAAAATATTTGTAACAATCTGTTTACAAAATAAATTAAGATAAGACAGTTGACAACTGTCAAAGATCCAGTTTACAAACATAAATTCATGAATATTTCTTTCATGGACTGTGAGCCTCCAGACAGTTAACCAGTGGTATTAGAATTCTTATGGGTAAAAATTATCTATTGCTTAATGGATTAGAATTTTGTGGTATAACTGTATTTTACTGTATTGGTTTACAGAACACTCTCTACAAAATTAGCCTTGAATTGTATTGATTTCCTCACAGGATGAAGATTTTTAAATTCTATCATTCATTATCCTATCCACTTCCTAGAGCTGCCCCAAAATTCACTACTAAGCAGAAGGAGATTAAATTCTTCTAACTTTTAACAGCCATTTCCATATATTCTAGCTGGATTATAACTTTTTCATCTGTAACACAGAAATGAGAGTAACAATAATTTTACAGAGCATTTGTTGTTGCTAACATTCCAGTAAATGCTTTTGACAAATCTCTCCAAGTATTTTTACCACATTTCATAAGATGACTGTAGCTAACGTATGCTCTTTTTCAGTTCAGGATGTTGTTCTGGAGTATGAGGCTTTGCAAAGTCGTACAACTACTAAGTTGTGGAATAAGATTCAAACTCAGACACTGACTTCAGAGAATGAACTTTTATCTACCCTAATACTATTTAACTGAAGTATCCTACAGACATGTCATGAAAAAAGCCTCACATATTCATAATTTTTGAAAAAAATGATTACTTTAGCATGCATGGTCTCTAATCTCAATTGAAAGATTCACTAAGACAAAGGAAGGGCATTAAAGAGATGTCAAAAAGAAACGACTAGAATAGGAATTTGCACTCACTAAGTAATCACTGACAGAAAGATAGAACATGAGGAAGAGATGGAAGGCCCACTGGAGAGTAGAAAAAGTACATTCCCAAGCTACCATTAGGTAGACAATAAATGAAAACTTTTCAGTGACCACATAAAACGAGCTATGGCACAGACGCCTGGGCTCCAGAAGGTAAGTTGCTGGTGAATTAGGTCAGCGGGTTTTCACAGGTCCTGCATGTTACAAGGAGCCTGTGGGAATACAGGGGGCCGAGGCAGTGGTTCCTGCCCTCAAACACCACAATTCATCTTCGCAAAGAAAATCGTAGACATGTTACATAAATCCAAATCAGTCTGCTGAAAGTAACTGTTAGCTCATTCCCCTTTCTTTCCCAGCTAGCTCAGATAATCCTAAGGATAAGGTAACTTTATACATGTCCAGAAGTCTATTTTATTACAAAAGAAGTCTTTTATTTAAAGTTTCTCAGTTAAAAAGAAAAGATTGTTTAAGTACGTAAGTATCAAACTTTAACATAGTTTTATGGGCAACAGGACCAAGTCTAACCTTAAAAGTACTGACTTTCAAGTTCCTTGTGAGTAAAATACCTACCATACAAACTGGAAGAGGGAAAGGAAAAGTTTTAAATAGAAGAAGAAATATTTCAAGCTCAAAAACTGGGTCTCACCTGATTCATGGGTTGTGAATTTTACTATATTACTAAATTGGTTGCCATTCCCCACTTTGGTAAATCCAGATATACTGATAGAATAAGTGCTCACTGGTTCGAGGCCAACAAGTTTAGTTTCACATTGAAAACCTGAAATATTCTGAAAAGACAAGAAAAATATTTTTATTCACAATATGGCATCAAACATTTGTAGCTGGAAGAACTAATTTAATCCAAGGAAACTATTCTTTCTATATTTAACCTATTATTTAATGAATATTTTAAACTTAAAATGAAAAAATATTATTGTTTTCCACCATGGAGTATGTTTAGCTTATGACAGAAAGATAAATTGTGCCCCTTCTTTGACTTAAGATATCTCAAAACCACCAATTAAGGGGGAAAAATGAGAGTATTTTGTTCTCATCTAATTAGCCTTTGTGTTATTTTGCATTATCTACTAATTTTTCCCTAAAAGCTTGCAAAATTTAAAAGTTCAAAATTTTAAATTCAACCTGTGGATGATCAGCAAAACATGATTTTTCCTAAATTCATCTAAATTCACTATCAATATCCACTAACATGCCTAAACACTCAATTTATTCATCAGCTACTCTACGCTATGCATGGGGAGCATGCTAACCAAGTACTAAAAATCTCTGTTTCCACAAAGGTTAAGTGGATCATTTTCTCACACAGTTCCTAAATTTCTAATTTGCCCCATGCTTTTCAAAAAATGAGAAAAAGAATAAAAGACGTTATTATAGTTCACCGACGTTATTATAGACGTTATTATAGTTCACTATATAGTTATTATAGTTCCTGTAGGAAAAAAATCACCATTAGGAATAATGTTTTCATTCAAAGATAGTTGTCCTAATCAAAAACAATACAATGAAAATTATACTTACAGAAAAAGTCAACAATCTCCCATAGGATATTAATTTTAAGATAGTGTATTACATCTGATAAAAACTGTGCTGTGTGTAAAGCATTTTGGAGCAAACATTTATTAAGAATATTAACCCTTGAGCCAGTTACATTTTGAGTCCATTTTAAAGTCATCTGTAGGAAGTCACTGCCATGCTTCTATCACCTATTTCTTTTCATTCTTCCATGCTTACAATTGACAAAGCATGTTGATAGATGACGGGAGAATGTAAGACATGACCTCTGCCATCAAGGCATTTTTGTATTAAAGGAATCTACAAACAACTGCTGACTGAAAATAAACTAAGCATGAAAGCATGATTTGGGGTAGGAAGGCTTAATATTTCAAAAAATGACTAAACCAAAGCAATTAAAATAAAAGGTGTAAGACTAATTTATCAAATACTGAACAGCCTTACACAAGAGCAAGTCTTAATGTAACTTTTCACTAGATACATTTTTTCCTATCACATCTGCATGATTTACGTTATCTGTCAAATGATCTGTCTGTGGACCACTGTGGATCGATTGAGTTAGATAGTACTAACATCTGAGCAGTTCTAGTGTTTTTCTGCTCCCATAAACTCATACTTAAGTTTTGAAGGGAGAAAAAGTACAAGGAAAAACAAAGAAAATAATAGAAACAGATATTGTTAGGACATGGACATGAAATGAAAACCAGAGAGAGGCTGAAAAACAGATAAAGTAAAATAAATATTTTAAAAAGGAGGAAAACGGCTTGAGAGTATAAGTAAAGTAAATCGAAAGAAAGATTACAAAAATTGTTGGAAGACAAAATAAGATATAAGAAGTACCTGAAACTATACTTGGAAAAATAAAACTACTCAACTAATATACTGTATATAATATTTTATAGTGTAAACATTACATCTCATATATTTCAGGCCCCTTTTCATATAGGTCTTTTGAGTATTTTTCACTGATTCCAGATCGTAAATATTAAAGAAGGAATGAATATTTATGGTTACAAATGAGTTATCATTGACAGCAAAGAATAAGTCTCTTGCAAGACCAATTAGTATAGAATAATATGCCATCCAGAAAGATTACCACAACTTCAGTATAAACACTGTTTTGAAAAGATCAAACAAGATTCATTTGCTATTTCTTCTAACAACAAATACAAATATATTACATTTTATAATAGGTTATAAATAAGCCAGAAAAAAATTACTATATATTTTCCTTAGTTTTTTTTTAAAAAAAATTACCTATTAACAAAATGGTGCATCAGTTCCTAATTGGTAAATATATACAGATTAGAAATCTAAGTACATTGCAGTAGGAAGTATTTGTACTTCCTACAGTCTGTCATAAGTTTTGGGACACAGAAGATTTTTTTTTTTTTTTTTTTTTTTTTTTTGGTCTTTTTTCCTTTTTATCGGTACCGGAGATTGAACTCACGACTGCCTGCTTTCAAGGCAGGCACTTATGCCGCTGTGCTAAACCTCCAGCCCCAACACAGAAGATTTTTAAAAGATCATCCTTGTTTAATTTAAAGCCATTCATCTTCCTCCCGTGTCAAAACATTTAATTTCACTTTTAACTTTTTGAAATAAATATATACCATTATAATCAACCTACCTTATAAAATACAGTATCAGTTTCATGTTCATGAATTTTTAAACTATATACTGTAATAATACCGCCTGGAAGAGGGCTTGGGCTCCATCTCAACCACACAAAATCTGAAGTGTAATTGATTACAGTCAAATTTTGAGGAGGTGCTAAAGGCACTGCAGGAAAAACATAAATAAAACTTATAATCATAAAAATTATATCATAAAAGCATATCACGACTCTAGCTTCTTGAAGACATTAGTTAAATAATATCCATAAACCGATCTAATTTTTAACTTCAGAAAGAAATAGCACAAGTAATTGTGTTTCTGTTCTTAGAATACAATAGCTCCAAAGTAGTTTCAAACAGCAATTCTGAAGCTTGAGTTAGTGGGGGGGAGGTGAGGGGAATGTTCAGGAAAATAAATGAATAATTGTAATTACAGACAGACAATCAAAATTCGTTGATTTCCCTTGTTGTTCCTTAGCGAGCGCACGTTCTGGGAGAGTGAAATTGTTTGAATAAGATGTGTATTTAGGCTTACCTGACTCATCCGTGTAAAAGAAAAGAACAGTGGAAGGACCAGGTCCTTTAATAGTTCTTGCAGCAGCAAAAAAACTATATAATGTAAATGGTGAAAGCTCCTCCAATGTTACATAGTTATCAGAAGTAACAAAAGAATAATTTTCACTTGGTCCTTGTAAAGTTAAATCATAACTTATTATTGCACCATTTGGCTTTACTGGGGGATCCCATGATAAGAGAACTGAGGTAGAGGAAAGGTTTTTAAAAGTGTTGATTATTGGTGAAGTCTCTGGGACTATAAAAGAAAAAGAAAACATTAAGTAAAACAAAAGAATTAGCATTGATCAAGAAAAAGCTTTACTCAAAATCAGATATAATTTTATTATATTATTTTAATTTTAGGAAAGAACTTATTTTGCTTATTTAAAGCCTAGTTATTGAAAAGAGAGACCCATATAATTATAAAAATAAAGTCCTATAAGAAAGTGAAATAAATGAAAAAAAAAAATAATAAGCTGCTTAATAGGCCTTGAAAGGCTCTAGCCTACCATCTTCTTGGGTTTTGATGTGTAGCTGGGCAGTGTAAGTATCAGAGAATCCCTTTTCTGTTGCTGGAGTGATTTTTAACACATAATCAGTGTATTTTTCCAGATTATCAAAATACATGTTGCTTTCATACGTAACTACAGGTGGCCCCACGTTGTGAGCAGTCTGCTGCAAACTCAGTGAAACATAGTAGAAGACCAGACCGTTTGGTTGGGACGGTGGCACCCAGCTTACATTTACTGCCGTCGATGAAATTGACTTGTAAGTCAGGTTTCCAACAAGCCCTTCAGGTACTATGACAGGAAGTGAGCAAAATAAAAAAATCATCAGTTGTCCTAACTAGAATTTACATACACAAATTAAGCATAACAATGGAAGCTCTAATGGTATTTAAATGTAGATCATTGATATAAAATGCCACCTATCAATTATTTTAAAAATCATTCAAGATAAGCATTCAAAATGCAAAATAAATCTTTACTATGCATTACAATTGATTTTTTGTAATATTCTCTTGGCTTTTTCTCCCCAGAACATGGAAAGAGAGAGTATGAATATGGTTGTATGTATGTTCAGATACTTTCATTTTTGGTAATTTATATGATCTGAACTGTGATTTTAGTTTCCTTCTTCTAGAGTACTTTTAGTTTCTTCTTACTGAACATATGAAGAAAGATGCCAGTAAGTGACTTGCTCCAGGTCATATTGACAGTAAAATATCTAATGCTAAGCATTTCTGATTTTGAATAGCAATGTTAATACAATCACCAGACCACTAATCTACATTTTAAGATAATTTTAACAGATTCTTTATTTATAAAAATTCTAATTCTCAGACATCAGCTGTACTATGGGACTAAACTCTATTAAGGTAAATTTGAAATCCTATCTTGAGGAACATGCAGTTATTATTATTCCTAATGCTATTAATTACAACGGATAAAATATAAGCTGCAAAAAAATTGAGATATCTACATTTATAGAATCCCCGAAATGATATTGACCATATATTACACTAAAACATTTCTTTTGGTTTTGATGGTTTTGTTTTGTTTTTGGTAGGGGGGAAGTTCTTGGTCTTTCTGATACAGGGTTTCAGGGTTTCACCACCATATAGTTCAGGATGGCCTTGAACTCATTTTGCAGCCCAAGTTGGTCTCAAACTCACAACAATCCTCTTGCCTCAGCCTCTGCAGTGCTGTAAGTACAGGTGTGCACCACCACACCTGGCACATTACTGCTGAAGAACTCTCCAAAATACTGCTGAAGAACTCTCCATATATTTGTCATATTCTGTTAATCAACTTATCAAGTATTTAAAAGATTTTTACAGCAACAAGAAAAACATTTATTTCTCATGTTTACAGTATCTGTCAAATTATGATTTTTAAGCAATGAACATGGAATTTTATTCTCAGTAGACATTTAGGTCAATACCATTTCTCAATGAGACTAATTTTTAAAATTATAAACAAAGAAATAACCACAAGGGAATAGACAATGATCCATTTGTCACTGTTTTTTCACAGCAGAAATCTAAAAGAATAAAAACTTTAATCACTATAGTTTTGTGAGTATTCAGCATGAACATGGTTCTGTGGAACCTGCATACAAAAAAATCTGGAGATAAAGAGGATATTCTGAATAAATTAGTCATAAATATGATAAAACTAAAAATGCTGCATCTCAAGAAATCTTGTGTAGATTCAAAGTCTGAAAAAGAAATGAGTGTTTGGGAAATTTTTTGAGGTTCCTAAAGGAAATAGACAAATACATTAGCTATTAGAAAATTCATGCACACATGTAGAAACTTTTTTATCCCATAACCAGACAGTTGTGACATCTTCTGAAGTAGTAAAAGCAAAAGCAATTTCATAAATGAATGGCAACAGTTTTATGAATAGAAAAGACTGTTATGATTATGTTCCATAGTTCTTATAAATGCATTTTCAAACCTCTGAAATGAAAAATTAAATATGATAAAGTAGAGTCAAAGAGAAAATATATAACTGGAAAAGTTTATGAAATAATTAAGTTTTTTAATCTAATAAAAGATTAAGAAATGCTTTCATTTACATACTGTCTTGATCTGTGTACACTTGAATTACATCACTGCTTTTATTCCCATTTCCAACTGAAGTACTTGCTGTCAACCAAAATGTATAGTAGCTGAATATTGCCAGGTTATCTATTATTGCAGACACGGTCATATTGTCAGACTCATTGGTTACTTGATGAAGTGTGAAATTCTGAAAAAAAAACCATATTTTTTAATAGTTCAGAATGCAATTTTAGTATGCTTGAAGATTTTAGAATAATTACTATCCATTAATTAATTTACTCCTGAGTGATTTCAAATAATTCGTTACTTACTAATCAACAAGGACATTTATTACTTTACTATGTGTTAATATTAATTTTTAGGAAAATCAACATATAATTAATTGTTCTAAAAGAATAATAGGAGTAATTTTGCTTGCAAAATCAATACACAAAACGGAAAAGAGTAAAAAGTCCAAGGTTAGATTAGAAAATGTCGAGGCCAAATGAAACTGTTGCAGTGGTGCTTGCGTCAGTTTTCCCCATAAAATGCTTCAGATTTTCCAAGTATTGGTTATTTTCAAACAAGTTTGGTAATGTTACTTCTTCACATTAATGATGGGGAATTTATTAAAATGTTTGCTTGTTTCTATAAATGCAAATAGTAGTTTCTATAAATGCAAATAGTATTTCTTTATAATACTGCAAATGAAACCCAGGACCTTGTATACTACTACTGAGTTATACCTCCAGCCCTGTCTGTCTGGCTGTCTTTCTTTCTTTCTGTCTGTCTGTCTACTGCCTGTCTGTCTCTTTATCTATTTGAGATGAGGTCTCCTTCAGTTGCCCAAGCAGGCTCAAGTTTAGGAACCTCCTGCTTAAGCTTCCCAGTACCAGATCACCAGCAGTGCTATCATGCCTAACTTGTATCATTCATCCTTAATGGGTTTTTTCAACAATTGTGGAGAAGCTATTAAATACATCCTGCTGTATGCAGTAAAAGAAAATTAAATTTCTCTTCTCTGACTATACCTACATTTATTCCAAAGCATCTTTAAAAACCATTAATCATTTCCTTTTTGGCCAAATGTTAGGAAAACACATAATCAAACAAAATAGTTTGAAAACAAAAGAGAATAGATTTTTAAAACATATATATAATTAGCACAAATATTTTTCATACTGATTAAGAAATACAACTATGTATACTGAGTAAACTAAATCATTACAATCTCTATGAAATCTTTTGTCCTGTTTTCAGGTTCTGGCAGGGTAACATTAGTTACATTACCTAACCTCAAAGTTTCTCTTTACCCAACTGTAAAAGAAGAATAATCATCTCCACTTCATTGAGAGCTTTTGAGGATTAGTAAAAACATAAATAAATTAATACTATGCCTGATATACAATAGAAAACCTAACGGTAATTTGTTTCAGGATAGTAAGTTTGACCAATAGGACTGTAAATATGACTAAATTCACAGTAAGAAGGGTATTGACATTATCAACAAATTTAAGTTCCGAGAAATGGTTTATGACTTGTTTACCAGCATTTGAAGGGGAAAAATGTAGTTGCAATAAAAAATTTAGTTTGTGGCAATTTGTTTCAACACAAACATGCTAAAACCATGTAAAAATCTCACCTGTTTGATGTTCAGTGCTTTCCAATATGTTTACTTTACACATGGAATAACAGGCTTAAACAAAGCATCACTTAGAAGTATTATTTATGTAAAGCTTCTTGGTAAAAGTTTTAGGGGTTTTTTATGTAATTTGTTCTAATTACCAATGACCTCAATGACTAGTAAATAAAGAATTATTTGAAATTAGTCAGGAGTAATTGCTAATATGCTTGTGATTTAGTAGGTAACAAATTTATTAAGAGATCAATTATCCGGATAGTATTTTACATTTTAAATGAATAATATATTTAAAATTTAGAAGAATATTGTAATTTTGATCTGTATAATGACAATTTGAGTCTCAAGTCTTGGCTTTAAAATCTACCGGTGAGAGGGCAATAGTGGTACACACCTGTAATCTCAGCCCTCCTGGAGGCTGAGGCAGGAGGATCATGTATTCAAACCCAGTATGGGCAACTTATTAACTTAGTAAGACCCAATCTCAAAATTAAAAAAAAAAAAATAAGAAAAGAGCTGGAGAGGGGAGTAGCTTGGTGGGAAGGCCCAGGATTCAATCCCCAATACCACAAAAAGAAAGAAAGAAAAGAAGGGAGAGAGGCAGAAAAAAGAAGAAAGAAAGAAAGAAAGAAAGAAAGAAAGAAAGAAAGAAAGAAAGAAAGAAAGAAAGAAAGAAATTGATTTAGTGGTTAAGAAAAATATTTTGGCAATGGGTACTTATGTAGGACAAATGTTATGACCATTGTGCTTCTTAAAAGATAAAAAATTTTAATGTAAAAATTAATGAAAAATAAAGGATACTAAACATATCACAAAGAGGTAAAGACTTGGGAAAGATCTCTAAAGTAATTCTAATGTAGCTGAAACGCTAGCAATCATAAGTCACATAATCTGAGATAAACATTTTAACATAGCTATTTCATTTTGAAATGATATGTTCTCTTACCTAAAAGTAGATCAGTGGGTTTCTCTCCTCCCCTTGGAAATTCACAAAGATAGTTGCAATCAAGATGTTTAAACACTTAAGCTGGAGTCTCCATGTGCCTTTTCTTTAACAAAGTGTAATCTACTAGCATTTTTTTCTTTTTTCTTTCTTTTTTTTTTTTTTAGAGGAGTGAACCTGGGGGCTTTGTTCTCTACCACTGAGCTATACACCCAGCTATTTTTTTGTAGTGTCTAAATGCAGTACATCATAGTTATATTTGTTTGGAGCAGCTCTTCATTTTTGGCTCCTCATTTCACTCATCCATTTCTTTTTGCCTAGAAATGTTTTCTGGCTGAAATTATCTAAGGCTACTCTTTTGCTTATATAAATACAGTCAGATGGTATTTAGCAAAAGTTTTCCAACTTGACTAATCAACCAAAATTCCTTTAGCCTTTTTTAAAAATATAAGACATAGAATGTCATATCATGCTGTGGAGACATGACAAAAGTTGGTAAAAATTAAAAGTGTAGGAGAGCTAATATCCTACGCAAAGGAAAACGTGTGAAAGCTGTAGGAAGATTAAGATACATTGGCCAGGAACAACCCAGATTAAATTCATCAAGATAAGAAGGAAAAGTCACTCTGTACTTGAATGCTCCAAATTATAACTAAATACTGGATACTGGTCTATGTAAAGAATTTTTTATTGAAATATTTACTGAGCATTAAACCTATGCATGGCACTCATCATAGAAAGGAAAGATAAAGGTCACTGGCCTTTTTTCAAGGTGCCTGAGACGATATAAGGGAGCAAAAATGAGAGCAATCTGAAATAGGGGATAGAATGCAACATAACAGGCACAGGACAATCTGCCTTAATATGTAGGAAGGAGAAAGAAGAGAAGGAACAAGAAAAACAAGCTATCCACCTATTCAGCTGCACAGTTTTCATGCTGAGAATTTCTTCTATTCTACCAATCTAAAACAGAAAATCAGGTTTGAAGACACTGATGCTATTTTTAACATTAATTTTAGGAATACATTAAAGTACAAATGAGCACCAAGCAATGTGAGACTATATAGTTCTGAAAGGTTTTAACATCTTTAGTCTGTGCCCGCTTGCAGCTGTCACACTTAAAAGCATTCTTATGATTATTTAAAAGGTAACATATTCTAAGACAGATGAAGAGCAAAAGGGATCATATTATATACCCAGGTTTGAATTAGTAGATTTAGAAGCTCATAGTTAGAGGCTCATATTTGACTATTTAGATGTAGAAAGGGAGAGTCAAAATATAATCATGCACAAGACATGATTAAATTGCACAGAGGCAAAAACCACATTGCTAAGATTCAGAGGTATAGAAACTATTTGCAATGCTTTTATTAAGTGCATCCATGTATAACAAACATACACACACACACACACACACACATATATATATATATATATATATATATATATATATATATATATATAGTTTGGTTTTTTTGTTTGTTTTCAGTTGGTGTGACTGAAGGTTTCCAAAAGCTATAAAAGGGGATGGGAAAGAAGGGGCAAGAAACAGGTATGAAAAGTAGGAATTAAGAAATGTTACTTACATGTACCAACTCCCCACAATGAATGTAATCATTATATATTACAAACATGTGCCAGTAAAAAGAGAAAAGTCTGCAATCTGAATGCCATTTATACTATAGTGAAAGATTGCTAAGTTTTAACAAAATTATGGGGAAAAGTAAATACCTTGCTAATCTCCATTTTTCTTCCGCAAACAGCAGAACAAAAGAAACTGCAAAAACTATTTGACGTACAGAGAAGAAAACCAGACTCTTGTATTTCCTACTGCTCTAAAGATGCTTTATTTTTTAAAAAATCTTTGTCTATATCTATATGTCTACAGATTTTCAATAAAATCAATTTCTTTCTTGGCATGAATTTTTAAATGGTTACACTAATGTAACCCCACTTTCAGAGGGAGTGGTGGTGAACCTATGGTGGCTTGGGAAAGCAGATTGTGATCCAGCGAAAGGCCATCACTAAAGGTGGGCAGCATGGACCCTGGTGAGTAATGGGGACCCCACGGCTGCTGGGGTTGGCCAGAGAACAACTTGGAACTGGGCAGTGCCCGCCACCACGGGGATATCAATAACACAGAGTCTGGTGGCAGCCATCTTACAGTCGGGCAGAACCTACAGCTCAGTGGCATCACTGAGTCCCCCTGTAGGGAGGGCTGGTGGAAGGCATCTTGAAATTGGGCAGAGCCTGAGTACGTGTTGGCTTCAGCGTCATACAGAGAACTAGTGGGAGACATCTTGGATTTGGGCAGATCTGCTGTTCTGGTGCTCCTGTCACAGAAAGGTCTGGAAGAGAACAGCTGGGATTTGGGCAGGACCCTGTGCCATGGTGACATTAGTCAGCTGCTTCTGGTACAAAGAAAACCAGCAGGAGCTACTGGGGCTAAACCAAGCCTCTGCTTGGGGCCCAATAAGCAGACACAAAATAGTCACAACTCAGTGACATCCAGAAAGTACAGCCTAATTTACGGATTGACTGGTGCAGAGGCTGGAGACTAGCCTGTACCGCCCCTGCATCCCAGCCTACCCCAGATAACAGGTAATTGGGGAGGACAGCAAAAACTCAAGTCAGCATGCTTCTGAAAGGCCCTAAGCAATTCGGAGAGGGCCAGAGAACCCCAGGACAGTCTGAAAGAAACCAGAAACATGACAAGAGATAAAAATAAAAAAAAAATCTCCAGCTGCCCAACATGAGAAAATAAGCCCAGGAGAAGTAAATACCGAAGAGAACAAGCACAATAACCATCCATTGCTCGACACAGTGTCAGCCGAAATTAAAAAGTACCTTCATGATCTCATAGAAGGACTTAAAGCTGTACTCCTGATTCAACTGAGGCAAGATATAAAGAGATTAATTAAAGAAATGACAAGCCCCGCCCAAGAGAACACAAATGGAAGAACTGAGGAAATCAGAAAAGAAAGAGAAACTTCTGAAGAAGAATTTAAACATAACTTAGAATGCATGAAACAGATCCAAAGAGAATACCAGGAAACTAAAAACTCCATTGAACACTTGCAAAATGCCTTGACAGAAACTAAAGACAGCCTTCTGAAACTTGAAGAGAGATTTATGGCATATGATCATGAAAGAAAAAGCCTCTTAAAAATAACAAGGAACCAGAAAGAAGCAATTCAAAAAATAGAAGATGACAAAAAGATACATAACTTAAGAATAAAGAATGTGAGTGAGGAAGCAGGAGCAACCAAAAATGAAATACAAAGAATATTCACAGATATATTAAAGCAAAATTTCCCATATATAGCAAAAAGAAATGATATCCAGATAAAAGAGGCATACAGAACACCAGCTACCTACAACCAAAACAGATCTACGCCTAGACATATAATAATCAAGATTCCAGAAATCCACCAAAAGAACAGAATATTAAAAGCAGCCAGAGAAAAGATGCAGATTACCTACAATGGGAAAACTATCAAAATAACAGCAGACTTATCAACACAAACTCTTAAGTCAAGAAGAGAGTGGGGAGAAATATTCCAAGTCCTGAAAGAAAATAATATGCAACCGAAGCTCATATACCCGTCAAAACTCTCTCTCAAAATTAATGGAGAAATAAGATATTTTCAAGACAAGGAGGAACTGTGGGAGTTCATGGCCACCAATCCAACCCTACAGAGAGTGCTGAAGGACATTACAGAGAAAGAGAGGAAGAGATACCAGGATTCCAGCAACAGTGGCAGAGAGACCTCAGTGAATGGGGCAGACAGCAGAATGAGGGAATAAGGTGGACAAATTATAGCAGAAAAGTGGAGTAGCAGACATGAGGCAGAGACGGTAGCTATAGTCTTTAGTATAGACAGCTCTGAAACTCTATAAAAAAAAAGAAAAAGGCAGAGGTCATTGTTAATGGGGTACAAGGATTTAAAAGACATAGTAGTCTTATTGACATATTTAGTTTGAATTTAATTTATACTGGTCTGCCCACTCATGTCAGATTTGAGGGCACAGACATCTTGACCCAAAAATAGCAGGTTATACCATGGTAACTATCCTTACTTTCCTATTAACTTAAACTGAAATCCTACAATACTTACATTGTCTTACTATGACTGATCTTAACTGAATCTGAATCATAAGACTATGGGTTGGCCTTGGCTGATTTTATTTGAAATTGGTATGCTTGTTAGTATCAACCCTAAAAGTAGAGGCAACTACTCTGAGAATGACAAGATGTAAAGGATATCCATACTGGTATTAATTGGTAACAGCTCTCTAATCCTACAATGCTGTCAAAGTTAAGTTTTTATAAAAATAGGTGATACTATATTTAACTATAATAAGCCAGTGTTGTGGTCAAATCTATTGAAAATAACAAGAGAAAACATAGTAACTACGGAAGGTCATCTATATTGTGGTCTTACATGTCTTATCCATTGCATGTTTTTCTAGGAAATTGTTTTGCTGTCTTGCTATGACTTGGTATTCCCTATAATACAGAGAGGATAGATATATATGTAGAAATTCACACATGGGTTTTTTTTTTCTTTTTAATTATTTACGGGGACAGATTATATAATGCAAGATGTAATGAACAGATACTCTGAGGAAGAGACGCTAAGAAACCCGAGGCTAATTTTGTAGCATTATGATAGAAATTCTAGCAATACTATTGTTCGCTGATTAGAATGACATTAGACTGGTTTCTTGAGTTCAATTTCAGCATATGTAGAGATGGGGACAGCTATCACAAAGAGAATGAGAGATGCGATGGTAGTTACTATTGTCTTCCCTAATTTGGAACTTGAGGACCTAAAAAGCCTCCAATGATTTGATTAGTTCTATAATATGCAATAAGTATATAAAGTGGGTGAAGATGGGGACAACTATTTGTAAGAAACTATAAACAGTTAGATAGACAATGAAGATCTCCAGTGGGCTTGCTGCGAAATCTGTATTTCTTTAAATTGTTTTTTAACTGCTTTGTTCTGTTTTGATATGTTTAATCTTACCCTCTTTGAGATGTAAAACAAATGTGTAGGACTGATAACCATATTACTGAGCTTTTGTTCGATCATAGAGCAAAACGGTTTGTAGTGTCACTTTATGAATGTCATTCTAAATACTTTAATTCTATAACATGAACAGCTGATTCTAAGATGACAGTGTATAACTTATCAACCAGCAATTTCTTACCGTTTGTTTTTCTGTAAGTTTGTATTATTTCTACCCTTTTTTTTTATCTCCATGTATTCTTTTGTTTCCTTTTCTTTAAATAAAAAAAAAAAGAAAAAGAAAAAGAAAGAAAGGCCATCACTGCCCTAAGCCAACCTTTACACTTTCACTTTCAGCTGGGCTGTGCCTGAGGTGACTTGCAAAGTTTTGCCTTTACCCTGTTCATTAGCCCCCACTGCACTACAGGGGCACTCAAGCAAACTTTCTCTTGTCTCCATCACAACAGACTATAATGACTCTTGGACTGGCAGTCACAAATGTGGTCAGGCAACTCAGAATTATGAAGATTTTTCTCTATTCTCATTTCACTTAAAAAGATACAAAGAAATAAAAATTGTGAAATTCACAATCAATATGCAGTCAATATTCTCTAGCAGTAAAGGATGCATTTTGCAAATCGCATTATATACCCTGATTTTCCAAATCATGTTCTCTCTCCCCATCTTCTCCCCACAGTCAAATTTTGTCTTTCCTATGTATTAGAATTTTGTGAAAAATTTAATTGGGAGAATTAATGTACTTTTGCTGAAAATAACTGAAGATACTTCTCTAAATGAAATACATTATCATTCACATAATAAGAAGTACCTCTCTGCAGACTGTGTAGGCCTACAACCACATGTACCACAAATCTAATAACCATGTTCCCAGGGGTCTTCATTGTACCTGATACTGAGCAATAATAATGTCCATTGTTATCGTGACAATCACAACCCCTGTTGCCAATAATCAAAATTATTTTTAATTGAAGAAAATACACAAAAATATTCCAGCACCGAAACTATCTGCACTATGCATGGACAAACCCAAATGTATTTTAAGGTAAGAAATAACTATAAGAAAAAAATGAAACAATACTTTAGAGAACAGTTCTTGGAAGAAGTAGAAACGAGAGCTGTCATTACTTGCAGTTTTAAACAAGTGGCAATTTCACTGTTCTTACTACAAATCGAGCTGATAGAGAAGTTGCATGTGTGCGTGTGTGTGTGCGTGTGTGTGTGCGTGTGTGTGTGTGTGTGTGTGTTATGAGTGCAGAGAGAGAATAAAATGCATCTAATATTACTCCACATTTTCATATGCCATTGGGATTTTTGTAGAATGCGTGTGCACAGTTTTCAATATAATGTAAATAATGTCTTCTCTCATTTAGAAATCTGTATTATCAAAGCTAAGAATGTAAAAAGTATAGTAGGATAAAATTTAGGTCTTACCTTCGTGAAAGTTCCTGAAGTATTCCTGTAATAAACAGAATAATGTTGTATAATTCCATTGGGCTTTGAAGGAGGTGTCCAAAAGAGAATTATTGATGTTGAACTAAGATTTACATAATGAACATCTTTTGGAGGGTCACTGGGTGCTGTAAAGCAGAGAGTTAAGTAAAAACTATAATTACAGTCTCAAGTAATGTCTGAAATGTCTAATTTCTACCTAAAATTGCTAAGTTAAACAGAGAACTCTTTTTCACAGTAACAGTAAATTTAGAATCAAACCTAACTAGATGTCACAAATAAAACATGTAAGACACATTGGCCCATTCCTGTGTTACTCCACCATAGCAATATTTAAGAGAGGACATTTTAGTCATAAAATATTACCCTGGCTCTCAAACTGTCAACTGCTATGAATCTGAAAAGAACACTATAACAAATTTCCAATATAGAATACACAAAGTAACATCTTAACTTTTGATTTTGAAAGTGTATAATAAAGATCAAAGGCAAACAGAGCTGACGTCATGTATTGTATTTTGTTTCATTCAACAAACACAAAATTTTTATCTGTCAAGTAAATATGGAGTTGAATGCTTTATGAATATAGCTATATTTAATCTTTGTATGAACCCTGCAAAAGCAGTTATACTTTTCTCTATGATACAGATGCAAAATTGAGGCATAGGAAGGTTAACTTACTTTCTCAATTACTGAACCAGAAGGCAGATGTAGATTAAAGGCTTAATAATGTCTTCTGATATTTGATACTTCTTTCCTATGTTTTCAATTGGCTTACATCCATAGGAACTCACCTCCCTCTGGTGTTCGAAAGTTAATGATACTGCTTCTCGTTTTCCCATCACCGAATCTAGTGCTAGCTGTTACATAGGCACTGTATTCAACATTGTAGTCCAGATCTGAAAACTCTAATGATGTTTCAGTCACATTAATTGTTTTTAATGATGATCTAGCCCTAAGAGAGAATAAAGGATATTATCTGTATAATTGAATTTTAAATTGAAAATTACCATATCATTTATGGGCATAAGTGCATTAAAAATAAGCAATATCTGCAGCCAAAAACTTAATCTAGAGTAATAGAATAAAAATATTACTCTAAAAACTGAAAATAGTGAATTTTAGATTAGTTCAGCGAATTAACTTCATTTGCCTTTAAGTATATTCATTATATCTTGTGTTAATGAGTTCATAATTATAATAAGAATTTTAATGGTTCTCTAACATTATGTATACAAATTATTGCATTTCTTTTTATATTGATGCCTTAATTGTTCAAATATTTGATCTTTTAAAGGGCTGACAAAATCATTTATTTATTTATTTATTTATTTATTTATTTATTTATTTTTGGCGATCAAACTCACGACCGTTTGCCAGGCAGTGACTTGCGCTGCTGAGCTAAACCTGGAGCCTGGGCTGGCAAAATTTCGTTTACAGTATTCCTTCGTCAAAAAAAAAAATCTATTTTATATACTTATAAAGTGACATTTTCTTCAGACCAAACCAAAGAAATAGTAAATATTGAATTGGAATATCAAAATTAAGGAATCTATAGGCTTTTACTTATCAAATAGAAACTATTTTGAAAATAGTACATATGTATCATACTAAAAAGAAAATAATAAATCTCACATTTCACTCTAACATAGTCTTTTTTCCAAGCGTAATTTTTGAAATATTTGTAAATGTCATTCCAAAAAACAAAGCAAACAAAATAAATACTGACTCAAAATTCTTCAGCTAAGTTCCAAAATTTTAAGAGGGGGAAAAAGCCAAAAGAACAAAATATGAAGTTGTATAGCATTCCAATTTTTAAATTTCAATCATTTACCTCAGCTTCAAGAGGTCTGGAAGACTAATATTTAGAACCAAAGGGAGAAAATGTATGTAATAGTGCTAAAAGTGTGTGTTTATAAAGATATTTACTTTTTAAACAATAAATTATTAAACAATTTAGATAAGGTAGTATTCATATCACAAAAAAAAGAATATCTCATATAACTTCATATTTTTCTTCTTTAAAAACACAAGGCACCTAAGAAGTAAGTAAATGGGTATTTCCTCTGAATAGAAATGTTTTTCATTACTACTGACATATCTGAATATAAAAGATTTTATTTAGATTAAGGATAAATTTCACTCATAGTTTTATGATTACATAAGTGTCAGTTTACTCCAGTTACAAATACAGCTACTGCTATTTGAGAAATGGCTGGATAGCTTAGGATAGTGAGTAAAGTATGGATTCAGGTCATATGACTGGAGGCATGTGAGATTATCTGGGCCAGTGACGGTGAACCTTTAGTCCTTTGAATGATAACAAACAGCCTGCAGCGGCACACATGCCATAGGCTCAGCACCACTGATAAGCTACTCAGCAATTAAAAACACTTTCTTATAGATGTTTTCTTTCAGAAGCAGAGAGAATTTTCTTAATTTCTCTCAGATCACAAAGAATCTGCTGTGTCTATGAGTCTCAGAAAAAGACACCCTGTAGAAACGCTACCCAGTTCCATAAACCTGTCATTCACAGGTCAGTCACCACACTTCAGAAGAGCCAATCCAGTACAGCAATCTAAAACTATAAAGAATCTAATTGTACTATGCCTATTTTGAAGACTACTTCTAAAGCATGTTATTCAGTGCCACTTTGCATTACTACCTTCTAACCCTAATCTTCACTTCAAAATACTGCAGATAAGTATGTTCATATGGTAAGAATAACCCCAATTTTTTCCATAGATAACACAGAATCAAAAATATACCCTGGAAAATGCATATAAAAAATAAATTTTGTCTCAAATATATAGGTATTTCATTAAGACTGTCTGTATAAATTGTCTTTAAAACTTCAGTAATCCACTTCAGTTAGCATATATAGATAAACCACTTACCATAAAAGATAAAACATGTTACTAAAATTTTTTTCAGCTACTAATACGTCTTATATATCTTGGGCTGTTTTTTTTTTTTGTTATGTTTTGTTTTTGAGCTTGAAATTTTGAGTGATATTTTCATGAGTAATATAGAAAAATATCTGAGCATGAATAAACATTAAATGAAACACTTCATAAAGTTTCTCAGGGATGCACAAGATGGTTTGCAATAACACTGAGAACAGAAAGGGAGAAAGCAGAAGTGAACTTCGCTGAAGATCTAATTTCATGTTCCTCCCTTCTAGTAGGTGTTATTATTGGTAGTGAAACATCAATCCTTGGGCTGAGGTGTAAGATCTCCAAGGAGCCACCTAATGAACAGCAGGGTTTGCTCCCTCTCTGTGTAAGACATTCAGCTTTGACACTCCTTGGCATTTTCTGGTTTAGTTTCAAAGTCTCTGTTTTGTTATTTGCTTAAAATATTATAACAGAATTTTATGAATTCCGTTAAGATTTTTTACTTTTATATGTAAAGTATTTGTTCTTCTGTGTATTGATTTTTGCCCTTAAACTAATGAAAGACCATAACATTTTATGGCTTCATGATTAGGATGTATCACAGTTAACCAATATCCTATGAATTAACATTTAGGACTTTTTAGGACTTTTCTTCCCTTATTTCTTTAGCTATTCCCAACAGAGAATCAATAATTACAATGATACTTCTCTTTCTTCTAATTAAGTTGCATTGCTGTTAAGACAATTGGTTGAATAATTTTTTTAATTTAATGATTATTTCAGAATAATTATTATTCCAAATTTTAAATTATTATTATTTAGGATCACATCAACAATATGTAAGGGTGCTCATTTTGATAAAGTCTCATACTAGTCTGAATACTATGAATCTTAATTTCTACACATCTAAGAAAAAATATTTAATTTTAGTTTGGGTGCTCTTGATTATAAATGAGAAGAATTTTCCTCACCTGTTTATTGATCATTATAGTCTATTTGTAAAAATAATTCATTCACACACTTCCTTTTCTACCTTTCATTATAGTGTTTTAAATGTTGAACAGTGTGTGTCAGAATTAGGGAGGATTGTTCTTTACACAGTGTGTCAAATGCTTTCCCTGTACCATTTGAAGGTAGAAATCATATTACAAAATCAGTATTCTACAGAATTCAACAAAACCTGCTTACATCTACTTTGCACAGGCCTTATGTTAGGTACCAACATGAGTAACAAATAGAACTTTTTCTCAAAATAGAGACAAATAATTGTAACACCATTCATAACAATATGATTTTCTTAAAGACAAGGATCATAACCTTCTTGCACAGCAGCTAAACCAACAGAAAAAGAGACAAGTATGCGAGAATAAATTAGTTACAAACAACATGAGAAAAAAGAATCAAGTTTAGCCCCAAATATATAAGAAAATGTTCTTTAGGAAACTAGCATGTGAAGTTTGAGATCAAAGTAGGGAGCTGAACAGGATGAAGAGAGGAAAACAGAAGCCCCCTCTAAAAATCAGATCTAATTCTTATTCATCCAGATTCATGAACTGTTTGAAAATAGGACGAAGGTAAATGTTACGTAATATATTATTTAAAATATATAACTTTTCAACACCAGCCAATTTAAAAATTGATAAGAAAATGTAAATACATTTTAATTTAATCTCAGCGCAGTCATTTCACTGATTTCATTCTAAATCTAACAGAATACTTTAAAATTAAACCCATTTTATACTTAGGAATTCAAAACTCTGAAATTATTTTGAAGAAATATCTGAGGCAGGTTTTTTTTTTAATCTTCACTCATGTCTAATACCAAGAAAATGTCTTGGGTTGGAATTAATATACTCTTTGAGATGAAGTTATTTCCTAGTATTTTTTTTCAAAAATCAGACCACATTTTGACATCTAAGTCACAAAGGAAACTCCACAATAGAAATGCAGTTTCTTTGGCTTATCAAATTCTTTATTCATCTTTTATATCATCAATTCCATGGCAAGCAAAAATTCTTAAATGTCAAAATAATGTGGGAAGTTAAATCAATTTTCCTGTTTTCTTAACTATGAATGCACATGATTTCATAGACCAGGTCTGAAATTCTGTGAAAGATCTTGTTTTAATTCTAATCTTTATCACTCTATGTTGTGTTCCATGTGAGTAAACTGAATTAATGACAAACACATCCCCATCTGACATTGTTTCTATTAATTTACTTTCAAAATTTTAATCTGTAATTATCTAGTTATTTTAGGCTAATTCTTTTACTCATTACAGATCCCCAAACTGAAGAATGTCGACATTCGTTTACTTGATTAACAAGTATGAACCAGTGATGTCCACTGACTTGCCCACTTTATAATGAAACTTCTGTACTGCACCTTCCTCTGGAATATTTACTCTACATAGGTTAGTGGTACCTAATTATGAGTGATTATGCTTTAAACAGCCCCCAACTAGTAAGGCATGAAACATTTTTAAAACCCTGCTAGAATCTCAGAGATAGTCTGAATCAGAGTAGGATATTCATTTGTTGTTCTTGTTATTGTGACTGATTTGGCTTCACTTTGTTGTTTATATGTCCATAGTAGAAAAAAATGCATTGAAAAAGTCACTAAAGACAATGAAGTAAAAAATAATGATGTATACACTTATAATCCATGGTGTTGGAACAGATACGAGGAATTAGAATACAGAAGACAAAAAAATAGATTTCACTTAGTCAGGAAGAGAGATTTTTACCACCTGAGAAAGATGCAAAAGATAAGGATGCAAATGAATTGACTGGCCTGGTGGCAAGAAGTTGAAGCCACACAATTTTTGAGATAACCACCTCAATTATCAGCTTACAATGAGCTTCTGCTCATCAGTTTTGCAAGGAATTTGAGGACAGAGAAGATAAAGTGGGATAATTTCTGAGGACAAGAGAAAACTGACCAAAAACAAAGTAAAATAACTGCCTGGGACACTCAAAGCTCAGTAAGGTTGGAAAAAGAAAGACTTGCATCTACAGTACATTGTATTGTCTTCCCTTAGTTCAACAAATATTTATTG